CCATGTAATAGCTGTAGCTGACGATCAAGCACTACTCTACTAATACTTATGTAATTCAAAAGCATCTAATGCGCTACTTAACGTGCAACGTATGCATACAATGTCGCCCCGCCGCGTTCGCCAGCTAGCAGTAATACAGCGCGCCCCCGCGGCGACCACTCGTTGATTGCATCAGGTTGTCGCTCCTCATAGTGCGCGCCGCCATGATTTAGCCCACCTGTCTTTGTTTATGCGCCGCGATAAAACCCACCAGGAAGTAACCAGAAACGCCCAGATCAACAACGTGTCTAGAACTCTAGGGAACAAACGCATAATTGGACCTCTAATTACAAAAACAATGCAGGCGCCACGCATCTCCTATGCGAACAGCATTTCAATAAACGCAACTTCTTCCACGGAAATGAATGAAAATTATAAGCCTATGAAAAGCGAGTTACAACCGCCTCGTTGATATAATGGTGACTATAAATCAAAACTGATACGACATCGTGTGCATACATGCAACAGTTGCATCAAGATGCACTCACTGAGAAATTTTCGTCTTGTTACATCATTAATAAGTAATAAAACGTAATCAGTATAAAAAATCTGTTTTTAATTTCTCATCTCAGATTTTTGATGATATAGTTTAGCAGCAGTTATTATAAATTTTGCTTGAAATGTTTGCAAACATTATAGTCGTAAACATGGAGTGTAATTAGAAGTTTATTTACAAATCAATTTATTAAATGAAATGTTTTGGTCCGAAATATGAAACGAAATCGTTAATTTTATTTTCTGGGGCTTACAAAAAGTTTTGAAATTAGCTCTGAACAAGTTTTAAAACATGAAATCGTTACATAAAATGTAACTTTATAATGTGATGTACATCTTTTTCAATGTTATTTTTAACTTCGTTTTAGCTGTTGTTTACATTACAACACATTATAGATTATTATATGGTTACATTATTATATGGTTTATGTACCTAGAATATGAATGCATGCTTTCCACGAACGCTTTCATTTTCACCGCGCTTCTCATGTCATCAAATTAAGAGAGATTTACTGTATCATGGAGTCTCGTGCACGCTGACCCATAGTCTTCTGATGGAAAGTGCTGATAGACGCTACGTTTCAAGAATCATAATCTTTTCACTCTCACCTCCGTTGACAAGTCATTTTAATCGCTTGACACTTTCTGTAGTTCCACGCTCTACCTCTCTGTAGCACACTAACAAAATGCATAACGTAACGGAGTTTACGGTAAACTCAATTAATGAAATCATTTGTTAATCTGCAAACGATAAGCCAATATGGCGATGGTAGATCTGAGCGTATATTTCGTATACAATGTTCAATTTTGTAGGCAAAGTAATAAGTTGTGTATTTCTCCAGAAGGCTTCGTAGTTTGAATCGCTAATGAGGGGAGCGCAATTCAAATCGACTGATTTATAAGGAGTGAGCCATTTTGCGCGGCTCACGTACGATATTTATACATTCAACGGCCACTCGGATATTCAAATTCATAGCTTTCAGATAAGTGTAACGAATCGATGTTGCGCGGATCAGCGGCATTGTTTTAGATGGTAATACATGACTATTTGTTACTCCTTCGAGTGCACAGGCAAGGAATAAGTAAGCAATACTACAATAGTGAACTCATCTCACAATATCGATTTTGATATCAATAGTTTTTAGGAACTTAGAACTCTACATACACGTGTATATCTTTGGAAAATCTTCATGATTTTTCCAATTTGATGCTGCAAAATGAGCTAAGCAAATTCTAAAACAATTGACTAATAAGTACATTCTAATTACCTATTTGAATTTGAGGCATTTAGTGTATGGAAATGATTTCCATACAAATAACCAACCCCCACTGAATTACTCCAACTAATAACGGAGATAATTGTCTAACGATATGAACCATTGTTCAATTAGCATGGCTAATTCTATTATGTATTGTCGTCTCGATCCAATGAATCGTACAATTTATTAGGCTCCCTTGCATTGGAAAGCTATTCGCGAGAGAGCGGCGGCATCGTCCCGTATTAGCTCGTTAAGTCGGCGGGCCTTGTCCGGATGATATCGCCTAACCCCCTCAATTAGTGTGGCCCTGCTATCTCGCGGTCACCGCCGGCGCGTCCCGCCGAAAGCGGAGTACACTACCCGCGCTCCGCACTCGTGACGGGACGAACCAACCAAATCACTGTAGGTACTCTTAATTAGCCCTTATACTATAAATTTCAATAGCGATAATAAGGTCCCGTTGCGCGCGCACTGGGAACACCGTGAATTAAATTTAATTAATTCCTCCTCTCCGCATATACAGGACCCAACTTTATGAGTTTGCGTTATGCCCGTAATCCGGGTCCAGTCGCACAAGCGTCCGCGCGCAATAAAATGCCTTGATGCGATTAACCACCTCATTCATCTCCTGCTTTACCAACCGACAAATGTTTTAAACCTTTGAAAAATCCAGATGTCATTTGTCAAGTCAGAATTAACTTTTTTCAAGTTGAATTTAATTCAAGTACCGTTCTCTGGTAAGAATTCAGAACCGAAACTTGCGACACGTGGTAGAATGTATACGTGCCAAAATTGAATTCGTGCAATTACTGTAATGACTGTTAATGGTTGAATGTGGGCAGTGAGTCGCGGGTGGAACGGTACACGCGCGAGTTGTCGTTAGGCGGGCGGAAAAACGCGGCTGATCGCCATGCGGTACCCCGATATTGGGCCGGACGAGTGCAGAGCGCTGTTCGCTGCGCTATGCGTCCTGGCCTTTGTTTATGTTACTGTTTCCAGTACGTAAATGGAATGAAACTTGCTGACCGCCGCCCGATAACGGAGCGTTTTGTCTGTAATTAAGAGCAGCGAGAGCGGGTCAGCCGTCCGCGCGCGCATTACCACCGAGTTATGGAGACATTTTGAGCGTGCCCGGATTGTTTAACTACAAGCCTGTCATGTTATGCATAAACTCGTGTTATAAATCTGCTAGGGCGACGTCATGGTTCCAGTGAGAATGTTTGTTAATTATAACTAATAGACTGCCTGTACCGAACGAGATTCATGGCTTTTCTAATTCGTATTGGCAGGCATATGGTTCTGTTGTGATTTAACTATATTGATGTTTAAAATATCTTATCATCACAAAACCGATTTTGCTGAGTTGTTAACTTGGTCACAAAAGCTCTACCTGCCATTTATGTAAGTGACATTTGTCGGAGAAATCTCGACACGTATTTGATTTAGTGAGACTTTAATGTGTTCTGTTACTCCAGTACTTACCTGAATCCTATCTAGCGTCATGCAAAACCCATAACGTCGGTAAATGACCCCATTGTAAGTCTAATATGGCCCTCACTGCACTTCACTCTATTATTGTGGCACTTTTCCCTCAGGCCAATGAATTGTTTGAAAAGGCGGAGCGCTTTGGTTGACGGCCATTTCAGTACGTGTATTGCCTCGGAATGGTTTTTACGAGCTTTCTTATAAATCTCATCAGAACTCGGCAAATAGACTAGATCGCCTTATAAGTTCATTGGTTCTTTCGGTTCGCATCAGGCTGCTCATTACGCAGTGGCTCTGGAAAATTATACGAGCGCTATCGCTCTATTGTATCTCGGTTACACTGTTGGGATTGGCCGCGATCCTTTTGTTTTTGGTCATGTTTCTGTTTCAAATATTCAATTTAATGTTTTTTGCCTACTTAAATAATTATGTTGTGAGAGAATTTTGCAAGCTAATTATTAGACAATCTAAATGCAAATAAGTTGCGGCGATTTGGTTCGTGAGCGTTCGAGCCGTCGGCCGCCGAGTGAAGCTGTTAGGATCACGAGGCTATAAAGCGAAGACAATAATCGTTGTCGGTGGCTCGCGGCCGGTAGCGCCGTGTAAATGGCTCGAACGATACACGGTAGCTGTTGCCCACCGCTTCGCCGACTAACTTTGCCACAGTTTTTATACTCACACAATGCCTTTTTGAAAATTCACACCTTTTTAAAATATTCGCATGACAACCGACCGGTTTATTTTGAGTTCGCTCGTGTCCGTGTAAACAAAGGCACAATACTTTAACAATATGAATCATACATGATTCATTAGACAGGTTATATGTAGTACGCTGGCAATGTTAAGACTAAAGTTGGAGTCAATATGCGATACTGTAAACATTATTCCAACTCTCAGGATGTGGTTCTAGAAAATGCTATTACCTTTCCATATCTAGATCTAGTTTAAGTCATAGACAATTGGTGTATAATGTCCGGTTCACAGTACTCGTATTATATTGATACCTGTCTGGCCCGGTCCCGGCTGCGCATGAGTGCGTTTATGATTTAAAATTAGATTTATGGCCAATAAAGCGCTCGAACTCGGTGGGCATTTCTCCAACTCTCTTGCAGTCAATCACCATTATTAATATCACTGTCCGGCTAATCTTAAAATTACGACTGCGGGATCAAAAAAAAGGGTAATGACGTATCGGTACTTGAAGGAAGTAGGAATAATTTCGTGAACTGCAAACGCAATTTGTAATGTTCACATTAAAAAAATATAATTATTTTTGTTTTCGTCCTTGCATTCCAAGGAGTTATAAAATCTTACAAGTAGATAAACTAGTTTTTTGTTCGCGACGGTGCGTGCGTGTATTTCCCCAGATCATATAGGGATATACAAACAAATTAACATCAGCGCCCACGCACATTTGTCACTAGTCGGTGGCACGAGCTCATACATTTATTATGGTGTCATGTCGGTGGCTAAGTTATTTCGTGCGATAAGCAATAAATGTATGAAACCCGCTTCATCAAAATGTTAAAGAGACTGAATCTTCATCAACAAAATATGTGTCGATACTTAGTAGGAAGTACCTCTATTACAATTACATATAGGATGCCGCAATTTATAGCACGATGTGCTTACGTGTGTACATATATGTTGATGAATACCAATTTACACAAACAGTATCAATTTTCCCGTCGTTAATTCTTTTTGTTCAATAAAAATATTTTTAATTGTATTGTTGTTTCAGCACACATTAACGGGCCACAGTGGGAAAGTGATGGCCGCCAAGTTCCTCGGAGAGCACACTAAAGTCATCACCGGCAGTCACGACCGGACCCTAAAAGTGTGGGACCTGCGGAGTAAAACGTGTAAGTTGCAGCGCAATAAACGCACTCACTTTACTACCCACATCCAAATATTCTAATTGAATAGCAATTACAGTAATATACGCCTCTTGAATTTGAAACCGATACCGCTCTTGCCGAGCTTTCAATCGCTGTATTTAAACGCTCGTCCGGCCACACACGTTTCTAAAACTACACCTTAACAATCTGTTTTAAAGTCCAATTCAGTTAGTAATTTAGAGCAAAACTTGTTATCTTTCCAATACGGCTGTTAACCAACAAAACCACAGCTTATTTCTTACTATAATAAAACGGCAAAGGCCCTGCAGACTGATAGAAATTATTGATAGTAATCGAATTAGTACCATTATCGTTACTTGCTAGTACGCAATATCAGGTTCATTACAGAACTGGGAAGCTACCACCACGGAAGTTTAATTCCATAATTACAAAAAATATTCATAGGTAGGTACCTACTTAATGTTATTGCTATCTTCTTCTACATTTAATGTAATCCAAATACATATTTTTTTTGTGTATTGTTACCTATGTATGAAAAAAATATTAATTTGCGGGTGCAGCTACTGATAACCATCAGTACTTATAAGAAAAACTAATTCCTACATTTTATAGCCAGCTTGAAATAATTGAAAATAGACGTTAAACTTTTAACGACCATATTAATAGGGCTGGCATGTGACTTGTCAGTGGCAACTGCTCTTTAAAGGCGAGCACACACTATCAATGGAGTCATCTCTCCAGTTTTAATTATGACACCTGATAACATCTAACTATGAAAGCGCGCTCTGTATTTATAGAAATAACAGGTAACTACGTCATCTTTTAAAGGTGTATATTTGTTTAACTACCTTCTGCTCGCTGCTTTACCCAAGAAGTTTGATATTAATGGTGAAACCTTAATTATTTTTCTATATATATACATATATATAAAATTGGTATAGCAGTTTCGGAAATTAGCTGTAACGAACAGACTGGGGCTGAAATTACCCATCAATAAATTTTAATATGCTGCTATTGAAATTTTACAAATAGACAGATTTTGTGTTTATTTTGGAAGTTATTGGTAGTATTTTTATTAACGAATAATAACTTTAACAGGTACAGAAACAAAATTCGCTGGATCGTCTTGCAACGACCTGGTGACGTCAGACGGCGCGGGGTCTACCATCATATCAGGGCACTTCGACAAGACGATACGATTCTGGGACATTCGGACAGAGAACTCTGCCAACCACATCCTGCTCCAAGGCAGAGTGACGTCACTGGATCTCAGTAGAGGTAATTATGCAGTTTTCAGATACATTTTCAGCATATCGAGGACAATACCACAGTAAGTAATGAGCAGAGTTCAGATGAGACTGTCATAGGTTGAAATGATGATGATGTATGATCTTATTGAATACCTAAATCAGATCATGAAACATGAACATGATCGATTCGCTACCTCCGTAAGTAGGTAAGATACAAACAAAGGTAGCCAAAATCTTTGGAGCAAGAAATAATTTAGCGTACCTAATTTTTCATGATTCCCATACATTATGTAGGTAGGTATAGTTTAATGAAACTATCAAAATCGAATTCTTTAGTAAGGGCTTAAATTTTATTATCGATTGGCTTGATTTTCTTCGATGTTCTGCTTGTGTGTTTTAAAATCTTATGCAATTAATTGTTTTAGTCTTAAGTTATTCCACGCTATAAGGTCACTCGTAAAAAATCTCCAATCAATCATCGTTCTCACACCTTACTTATTTAAAAGTTATGACTGGTTTAACAATTATAATAATTATTTTTACCTCATATATAACATAAATTTATAAACCATGAAGCAAAGTAATTATTACCGATCTCTGCACGTAGCTTTACGCTAAGTGGCCAAGATGGACATTAAGTTCCCAGCAAGGGAAGATAGAGTTTGTAAATTACGCCGTCGCGGAAGGATTTCTAAAATGTTTTCTTCAACAATGTCCTCGGAATCACCTTTTTAGTCTGTGAACGAGTTCCTAACTCGCATAAAAGCTTTGAGCTGGAACCGCCTATCTCACTTAAACACAATGTAATGACAATCAATTTTAAGGTACTTAATTGCAAATTTAGCTGCATTGTTGGCCACGGGGCGGCCATCAAGTATTAGATAATCTAGCCCTGCGGTCGCTAGTTGACAGCTTCGGTACTAAGCAAACAGTTATAAGGTAGTGCGGGCGTAATAATTTCTTTAACGTGGAGAGCAATGATAGCAGGTAATTGAATACATGGTGTATTAGTACCGGTATTCGTGTCAGTCGGCAACGTGACGAGTTGGTCTGGTGTCCGTTTCCGTTACCCGCGCGTCTCGATCGAACCCTTTTTTGTTGGTAACGGTCTGCATGGCTCACGAAACTCAAAGATTGATACCTTCAATCAATCGGTGTGTCGGGACGTCGTATCGACGGAAACTGATTAAATCACGTCGATTTCGTCACCGGGCAAATGAATAGGGAGACGGTTCACAGTTACCGATCATGGCCGCTCCAGATATATCAATACAGTCCATCAACTTTGTTAGTTGGGTGAAATGGAGATCGCGTACATCACACGCCCTAGATTCCATTCTAAATGGTCAATGCAATACTGTATTTGTTTAAAAGTAAAATGATGGTCACCTTCAAAAAGTTTTTGTTAACTACATACCTAGTTTTATGTGCAATAAAGTTTTGAATGAATAAAGTTCGGATCATCCCCTTAACTAGAACATATTTCTTACCAAGAATGAAATGCAGGCTTTAATTACACGTAATGTCGTATGACAGGTCGCTGTCGAAACAGACTGCTCGCTTATCTAAAGCTATCCTTATCTTGCACTTAAAATGTTGGAACTATGCATCTAGATTTTGATGTCCAACAGCTTTATCCATTTCCTGCTCTTTAATTGCGTTAGCTAATCACATACGCTGCATTATAAAAGGAAATGCATCGGTAAGATTACTTTGCCTCTCGCTGATTTAAATGAAGGGAAAATTACGACCGTGCCAATCAGTTAGCAACTTTGACCAAAACTATAGTCGTTTTCACACAGAATCGGCTATTATTATACTCTATTCATTAAGAAAAAGTATGTTAATTAAACATTATCGCAAGTTCATCAGCCATAAACTATAAATAAACACATAAGTCTAAGGAAGGTGTTAACAAGTTTAACCACTGAAGAGTTATTAAATATTCATTATTGTTATAAAAATACATGGCATCCCATAATTTGCAGGGGATCTTAGACGCGAAGGTCTTAAAGCGCAATTCATCGTCAGTTTTCACACCAGTGCGTTACAAGTTCGATTAAACGTGTCGGGACTCGGACTGCAATCGGCTTACGACTTCAAATCTCGACAGCATCGTCAAGACCATAATCATTCCGTTGTTTGCACGCGATTAATGCCTTATGACCGCACATTGTCTATCCATTTAATTTAATACAATATCGCGTTCCGTTTAACCTTATATTGTCCATTTTATGCGACCTATCGAAAGGCTAAGGTTAGTTTATCTCTGCACTATCATCGAAAAGGAAAATAACGGGTCGTGGGATACAACATGAAGTATCTAAATTAAGCACAAGCTATCATTATACAATTTTGTAATCTTAAACATCGTCTGCCGCGGCATTAAACCTTCCGTCGATGCATTGTCAGTAATTGACAGTGACAAGCTTAAAAATTCCATTAACTCAAAATAAACCAACATATGACGTTTAGCCGGCGCTTAATAGAAAATTATTAGCGCATGTAGTTTGTGTGTTTGTGTACGCAGTGACAGTAATGCGAATTAATAATGTTTTTTGTTACAGACAGTAACTATTTGCTGGCATGCGGGCGGGACGACACAATACAACTAATAGACCTGCGGATGAACACGATAGTACGCTCTTTCAGGTAACATAAAGTGCGCATGTTTATATCCCTGCGTTTGATTAACCTTTGTGTGCCGCTATTGATTATGTGTATTATGAGGCCCCTTAGATAAATATGATGATATCAACCTGCATGGCATATTAACCATTCTGGTGTCGCAGTAATGGAAGAACAATAGACTGGCCGCGATCTCCCGGAGTTAGGGTTTATTGTCGTCGTATCGATATCGGCCTACTGTGTAAGGCGTGCTACTAATTATTTCCGTGATAATACTGATTTCCTGCTACTAATAATATAACGTTAACTTGCTAATTGGGTCACGGCGTAGCTGGAATCTAAGTTGACTTTGCATTAAAATATGTGGCGCTCATTGACGGAATTGGCCAGCCAATTTCTTCAAAAACGTAAACAATGTAAACGAATCGTTGATGAAATCGTGAACGGAACTAACAAGGGCATTCCACGTCCAATTTAATCCGATACATAGTTGCCGTCTGACGCTATCGTTTCATAAATCCGCATTTGTACTAGGACCGGGCAAACTAGCGATGCATTAAAACCTAAGAAGTGTGGACACCGATTGAAAAGCATTGTAGATCGCGACACAAGATAAATGTTCTGCGCAAATATCCAATTTCATTCGTGATCTAATTTATCGCGCACCATTTCTAATTAATCGTAAACCATTCAGACAGCATTGTTCTGTTAAGGAAGGGAAGAGTGTAGCGGCAACCGTAATTCAGTTGAAACCCAAAACTGAGTTTGTGTACACCATATATTTTCGAGTTAACGCGTTTTGTATAGAATTCAATGATGCATGAAATTCAATCTTAATGTAATATTCTTCAAATTATGATCGTAGTTAATAAATTTAACTGCATATATATATTCACAACCACCGGTTCAGGAATGCCACCAATAATAGCCTTGAATCTGAACCGCTGGTAGTAATAGGGTTCTAATCCAATTAAATAGTCCATATCCTTTCTTGTTCCATCATGTTGGCGGTAACAACCGTTGTGTCAGACAAGGGACTATAGGTATGTGACGTAGTTAGGTACTATTGCATGGATCTACCTGTAATAATAGTAAATGTATGTGTGTGTAAATAAATAAATTATCAAGATTGATTGAACTAAAAATAATACCGTCGTTGACGAATGAAAACCTCGGGAGTACCGAAAACAATTTTTTTCAGGAAAACCATCTCCTGAATATTTTTGTATGAAACCTGTTCCCGGTTATTGATGTTTATTACAAGGAAACATTCGAATATAGGTGAGTTTGAAAAGTGCGTTAAGGTTTTCTTATTAAACAGTGTTTTTAGTGAAAACTCGACTTACGAGGTTTTCACTCGTCAACGACGATACTGAAAAATGTTATACTGAAATGCGTCTCTCATATAAAATTCAGCCAAATTAATTTACATAGTATAAAAGAGAAGAATGAACGCATGAAAAAGAATGAATGAAGAAAAAAAGGTGATGAATGACCTACAGGAAAATATTTATAGTGAGATAAACTTTGTCATGTAATTGGGGGCGTAGTGTGAGTTTACATCAAACGTATCCGATATCGAGTGCGTAAAAAAATGACATGACGAATTGAACAGCGCCCCTAGCGAATACTTTCAAGAACTAAAATCTTCATATATTTTTTTAACACAGTCGATATCGAATGCGTTTGACGTAAACTCGCACTGCGCCGCAATTCTTCTAAAGTACTATTTTGGAACCAACATAGCCTAAAGTCTGTATCCCTCTATGTCCAATTTTCAGTCACGAGTCATTCAAAGTGGGGTGCGACTGGTCGAGGGCGGCGTTCGGGCCGGCTGGGCGGCTACTCGCCGTGGGCGGGGCAGATGGCTCGGTTTACGTTTGGAACACGCACACTGGCCGGTTAGAAGCAATACTCAAGGAACACTCGTAAGTATTAAAGGCGATATATTTTTTTGAATAAAACACTATTATTTCTACAGTTATTTCACAATAAATCAAAACGGCCATAATAAACTCGCGTAACAGCACGCGCGACTACTCTGATTTGAAGTTTTCTTCCGGGTGTTCATAGGGTAGAATAATTTCATGCGTATTATTTAAGTAAATAAAATAAACAAACATGAATTTGCAATTTAGTATAGAATAGTCAATAGATAATAAAGGAAAGCAAGTAATTATGTCGATATAATTGTGTCGGCTAGTAATTCCTTGCTGTGAGTAATATTGCACCGAAGGAAGTTATTGCCCGTTACGTAATTTACAACGTGAAGTTAAAATTACACGACATAATTTTTATCACCAATATGTATATCACCTATTATGACATGTTTTTTTATGGATGAAGTTGTTTGCGTTTTAAAAGAAGGTTGACTTGCAATCAATTACACTACCGGGAGCTGATTGCACTTATACACTAAGCTAGAGGCAATCAGGTGATACTAAACTTATACACGACAACTTGTCGTGTTACTGGACAGTCATTATATGTGTGCCTTCGTCGTCACAAGAAGAAATTCCTCTACATGTTTTCAGTACATATGTACCCGTGCAGTACTTGTCGCGTACTGTATCAGAATTACTGATTTTACATACAAAATCACGTCCTACCGTGCTTTTACTTCGCAACACACGCTGATACCATGTCGCCGTGCAAAAAGCTCCTACTAAAACTGGGCTTTACATAAAACGGAATTAATAAGGGCAACAGATTATAATGAATCACATGGTGAGTTAGGCGGCATTACATAGGAACTTAAACATACTCATGACCTCTCGTGATTATGTGCAATAACTATTAAGTTCCAGTTAGTCTATAGGCCATTCAGAGGCAGGGTGTGAGTAATAAACTTAGACGGCGACAACTAGTCGAGCTTGCGATGTTCGCGCCAATTGACTATAGGAATCTTGCTAACATAAAAGTTGCAAAAAGTTGCCATGTGATTCAGGTAGTTAAATATAACTGCTGTTTTTATGAGACCAATATCGAAAACTGAAAAAAAAAACACTTTGTGATTGCAAGTGTTTTATTATGGTATCAATATGGCGAATATGTCTTGCCTGTAGACTAAGAAATCTATATCTCCATCGCCCGTATTCACAAACGATGCTTGCTTAAGTAAAGCAGCAAATCGAACGCACAGCGTTGAATATAACTCTGTGATTGGTTCATGTGTCACCCTATGCGTCCACGCGCACTGTGAGACCTCGAGAGTAATGCTTGTGAATACGGGCGTATTATATGTATGTACTTTTTTCCTCTAAGGCGCGGATTGAAGATATACTGAACTGCCTACTGACATATAGAACTACCACCACTCGGCACGATTAGAGCTGAACTCAAGAAGCACTCGATAGTAATATGGTGCTTCATACAAGACGTGTTGACTCCCGTCCATTCATGCGCCTACGATGACCACAAGTGTCACTTGTGGTTGTTATCTTGTTCATTAAGTGACGTTAACACTATGTTTAGAGGGTTTGTAAATATTTAATTAGATTTTTGATTGTATTTTGGTACTCTAAGATACCTCCATTTGTCCCGGGTAAATCAAAGAAAGTTGTGCTCCTGCATTGGAAACAAAATGACCTGATGATGATGATTCAAGGATCTGGCTCGCTGGTATGAATTTGGGTAGGTTCTGATCAAAAAGTAGACTCATTCTGACAACTGAAAAAAATAACTGAAAACTATTGAAGCATCTGAAGGACACGTCTCTATTTTTACAGAAGATATCTTACTCATATACAATACAAGTTTCTCCGCATACTATCCCCGGCAGAACTGGTCACTAATAAATGTTGATCGAACAGGTTGAGCGCGATGACAAACTAACGTACAAGATAAACTAGGGCGCGTTTAAACGGAAAAATTGCCGGCATAGTTGTAAATATTAATCATTGGTTTAATCGCTGACGCTTTGTAGCTTTTGAACTCGGCCGTGCACGCGAGCGCGTCCACTTAACATGCCCATAGACAACCGGTTGTTCAGATTGCAACCATATCAACTCTATTTCAGTACCCCGTAGTCATTAACCTTGTTGCGTAATAAGGACTCGTTTTTAAATTAATGGTAATTTAAAATGGACATGTACGATGTGATAATCGTTATTTATCATAACGACGTTTCACCAAAGAAATTATTTATGATTTTATAACGCACAATTTCTCCCGCTAATGTTTTCGAGATGCGGGAACTGTGCTCTGGTATTTCGTCGCTAACCATATTAAGTTTACAATGTCAGTGTTATGCGGTCGTGAAATGTATTTGTAGGATAGCTAAGTGACGGGTTTTCCTGAGAACTGGATCCTTTTCTTTATGGAGCGTGGCCAGCCCTTTGACCCTGCCACGCCGTTTAAAGTGTGAGCAGACACATATCTGACCTTGAATATGAAACTGGAATTGTCTCGATCGTGACATCGTTTAGTTTCCCCTTAGCATTTCGCATGGACAATTGAAATCGTGAGGTCAACATTGACTCTAGCTGTCTTTGCAAATTTCTCTTTCCCATACTCCGGCCGTCGTTTTTGTTTATAATGGTATTGATCAGAATTTCTTAAGATAATCGGCTAACACTATTTTTGATGAGGGCGATAATTATTAATTAGCTGTTATGTGGGTTGTTATGGGCTGTGAACACCTGTTAGTTTGATGAGCAAGAGAACATGCCATACCCATGGTCAAGAAAGTCTACCATAAAATAGTTGGACAATTTATTTTAAAGCTGTGGTCCTGAACCTCGCGCCTACATAATTTAACCCATTCATGAGCCCGTGACATTGTCCATTGGACGTAATGAATAATGATTCTTAGGGCCCTAGAATTTCAGCCCACGATCCAGTGCATGAAACAATTGAAACATACAAGTTAAGATATCTGTTGTCGGCTCGTGTTCTAATACAGTTATGACCCCTGACAAGCGCCACGGTGTAACTCGGCGGTACCATTGTTCGGGAGCGGGCTGTGCGGTCCTCGCGCACGGCTCGTGACGTCCCAACATGCCGTGATGCAATCGTGCTCAATTCGCGCCCAGACACACAATGGGCAAAATAATTTCCCTCGTGCCAAGGACAAAAGACACGCGGAAACATTCACCCCACCATCTCAACATATATCTTTGCCTAGCAACTCAAGCTCCGCGCTCGAAGTCGCGCGGTCACTTTATATCTGCACCGACGATTCTAATTCAATATTGAAACAATAAGTACGGTATTCTCGCATATACCGTTGCAACATAAAACTCTTATCTTATTCGGTTGGAATCAATTTGAACAGGTACAATATCGGAGTGAAGCCAGATGAGCAATAAAGATTGTATTCCTTTTGGCCCAGCTATTGTTTCGCATTTCATAAACGCGTATAACCGCGAGCGCGTGTTATTGCATTGTGACCGTTTTATGTCTGCAGATATTGGCGTTATCCAGGAAGACTCATTAAAATTATTGCGCAACGGGTGTTCAGGGTATTAATATCGACTATTGTAACTCTGAAGGAAAACCACCGTCTAATGACTGATTTTCCACTACAAGTTTCATATAAAATATCTAATGGTCATAATATTAGCGATGCTGTAAAACTTAGACACGCAACCGAACTGCAATAGTGTGACACGAATGCTAGCGGGCGAACCGTTATGAAGATATCCGCGTGCACAATCCGCAATGCGTCCGAATCCGTCAGAAAGCTGACGTTATGTCCAAAAGCGCGTTCGTTCGTCCAATTAGCGTAAATCGAATGTGATCGAGGGCGGTTTCTGTATCGAGTATGGTATAACGATGGCCGGGCGACGTTTCCGGATGTGTACAATAGTGCACCGATGTCGGTGACGGGCGGCGCGCGCCATTTGAATGTTATCGCGGGCGCGCTGTCCGCGGCGCAGCGTGCGGCCCGGGAATTAACAGAACAAGTGCGACATGCGTTCCGAGGCGGCGCACACTGGGACAACACTACGCCCTCTCAGCACATGAAATAAAACAAAAGAATTGGGTGTTTGAAAACATTATAATAAAAAATTCCAACAGCTTCACAAAACAACAAAATTGTAGCCCTAAAAACTGGATTAGTTATCGATTACCCGTAAACTATGATTTTAGTGCGTACCCATGAAATCAATAAACAGTAAATTAACGGATTTGGCGAAAATGTGACGTCATAGCCTCTTTTGCTATAAAAATCTCCCATGAAGCAATTTGGCCAGAACAAAGTTTGGAATAGCTCATAAAAGTGCCCGTGTCAATTGATTAGTGTGTGAACTACTCTATTGACTCTATATTCCTTCTAACGGTATTAATTGTAAAATTCACAACGAAATCTATATAACAATCATATCCTCCACCTTTTGTTAACATTTGTATACCAAAGAATAGACAATCCACTTGTTGAAAATGGTTATCATCTCTCATTGTTATTTACAATTCAATGGAGGGTTGCCTATGCCTTTCGCCAATTACCACCCACCATTTTCAAACCTTTCATGCTTGAATTCTGAAACCCTCTATCGGTACGTAGAGCATTGAACATCTTCATCACGCATCGTTCGGAAAAAAAACTGACTGACTGACTGAATTTCGGAAAATATATTTACATATATTTCTTACTTAAATAAAAAGAGCTTTTAAAAAGTAGAGAATTCAATAAATTCAATTCAAAGATTCAGATCAAAATTTCAATAGTTTTATTTGATGTAGAGACGACAGCATCAAGCTAAGCGCGGTGGCACCGTTTTTCGGTGTAATAAAGGTGCCATTTAACAAACATTTATAGTCTGATAAGCTGTTTACTGAAGTAAATGCTGCAAAACAGCATAGCGCTATATCAATTGTGTGCCAATTGTGTGTCGTCTATGACAAATGAAATTCTCCCTTAATAAGCTTATTATTGGTAATGCATTAAAGCATTCCAGGAATCCCCCGATCATAATCACTAAGCCTCCGTTAGGTATTTCTACATCATTCATAATGCAACAGGCTGCTCGCTGCGGAGGCTGTGCCTTTGTGGATGACGGGATTAGGCAAACACGCATCCTGCCGCCATCGGGTCCCTATTCTGTCTGGCGGGCTTCAATTTTCTCGCGGAAATTACATTTAGGATTACGATCGGAATTATTTTCATCTTGAGCTACGGCTCACTCGCGTAGAAAGTTTCCTGAAAGCTGATTGGTGAACTCCGCGGACTAATTACAGTGTTGGTTACTCACTCCACGCTAACATCGTCCCGTCTTATTCAAATTAACAGCTAAAGATGTTGTTCTAGGTAATTCAGTTACGATAATCTTGTAAAGCAAACTACAGGTTAACAGGTTAAATGTGTAGTATATTTTAACACAATTTATTTGACAGAATATCGTGACAACTGGTGGAGATCAACAAAAGTAGGATTATGATTCGTATAAATCACAAATCCGGGCGACGCCATCTATCGGCCTCCGTAATACATCAGCGCGAAGCCGGGCGGTCTGATAGTACAGCATAAATATTACCTTTGATATCGTAGATTTATGTTATCAATCATTGCTATCTTGATATTCTGACAATGTCGTAGAACATAACCTTTTGTTCACAGAAATATATTTCTAGCGTGAGCAAATATTTTACGATAAAGTACGGAATTTTAGACACCAGAACAGAAAACATAATGCAGCGTAAACAATGGAACTGGCGATATTTCCTGGTCGGAGCGCCCCGCGCATATCTATGCGTCTGCTTCAGTCAAAGATATTCAATTAGATGCGTCCCAGTGTGCGCGCGCGCTTATTGTCGTCCCCGGTAACGCTATGATTTACGATTCGGGCTATCGGCTAATCGTATCACGGCGATTTATTGACGGGAACTATAGGGAAACTGTCAAACGAAACGCAAACACTCTTATACCAATTGAACGGATGTTCTGCCCCAACAATTTATGTAAAACGCCCGATAATCATATCTGTGCCTGTTAACGGGCGTAACTACGCTCTTGCGTGTCATCTGAACCTGTAATTTCCGCACTCAATTATAATTCATTCACTCGTTTACGAAATAATTCTTGGAGGTTCGTGATTTAGAAGTGTACGATGGAATAGAACAGCCACAGTTATGGCTACCTACTTCCCGCACGCCCACACACGATGATCTTTTTCTTTTATCACGCCAAGCCTTATTAGTTTATTTTTATTTTAGTCAGTGATGATATTCTTCAAAAGGAAATTTTGAAAGTGGAACAGGTCATGTTTTTGCATCTTTCTATTTTTAGATTTAATATTAATGCTATGGTTATAACACTTTTCAATGTCTTTTACCGGTCTTACATGATATCAGCTATGAATCGAATAGCTTAATTTAAAAGATGTTTCATTACACTTAATTGGCACCTGTAACTTTAATTATTATGAAAAAAATACTGACACAAGCACTATCAACTAATTAATATAATAATATGTTTTATATCAAAGTTTCATTTTTTCAGCATTCGATGAACTATGCGTATGCTTAGATCCAATTTCTAATCTTCAAAGACTTATTTTAACTTTTTTTGCATCAATAATGAATCTTTTTAGTATGAATAAAATTAATTTTAATTAAGTGGACTTAATTATAAAAGAACAAAAAATGTTAAAGTGCTTGTGGAAAAATAAAATATGCACCGTTTAAGTTTTCTACTCCCATATCAATATGATCTATTAAGCGTAATAAGAAAACTGCACCAAATACTATAATCTTCTAAGTTCCCTTGTCCCTTGTGATAATTGCCAGATAAACCGTTGGGGATGTCGGAATGCGACGCTCATAAAATTAACAGCCAATTTATATGCATAACCATCTCACATACTTCATTCTAACATGTCTCAGGTTTAAAATGGATTTTGTGCATGCAGGCTCCAATAATAGGAGAGCGCATTGGTATTTGATATTCATGTAACTGCTGCTACTGGGAATCGAATGTGCAACCTTTGGGCGCGGGCGGGTCACCCATGCAATCACGGTGGCGAGTAAGCTGTGTGCAGTCAGCCTAGTGGTCGTAGTTCGCATTAAGGCCGGCTAATCGGCGTGCATGCTTTTTGTATCGGGAGGCAACGACCGCGGATAGGTCTTGAAATAGCTTTATTGGGTAACCTGTCTCCGAAGTCCGAACACAGTAGGCGTATAATGCGGTTATGAATCAAGGCGCGACTCCGGTAACATAAACGCTGCGCTTATGAACATCCGTTGTTGGCCATATAAAACGGATCGGGCGCTTTAGTGCACCCCGAGCCACATCCCTCTGTTCCTAACCACATAGAGGTCAAAATCGAAGGACATCTCTCACTCAGCATTAATTGTATTTCCATACACGAGAAATCGATTTAACGTTCCACGGGATTCCGGTTTGCGAATTTTTTGTAACACTTTTTCTTGGTTTAATCATTTCTTACAACGATGCCTTAATTTATGCCCTATGGGTTCCACTATAAAAAACCATATCTTAATTAACTTTGTCCGGATTCCAATTAACAAGGTATCGAAAAGTAACGGTGATTACAACTCCAAATAGAGCGCGTCAATAACACGCGTCGGTAAATAGGAAGGAGATGGCATCTACTTTTGTTGGAACGAGAAACAATCGCTAAATCCTGGTGCCAGATTTGCTCATTGTTTACGGTGCTTCCTTGTCTCCATATTGGATATTCCCCGGGAAGCTTGTTATACGCAACCGGGAGCGGTATGTGTAAACGAGCCGAACAAACCCGACGCTAATTCTTGTTTATGAGCACCCTTGGTCCGCGTAGATACGATGTAAAGCTTTAAGCGGCCACCGACAATCAAAACGTACGCACAGATTCCATTCTGGTAATGATATGTAGGTACACGCTCCGATCGCGATCCTTCCTCGTGCGATAAATTGACATTTGCAGTCGATTATTTGAATACTTGACCGCCTTTCCTCGTTCGTCTTCAGTGAACCGACATGACTGCTAGCCACTTTCATTTTGGTTTATTTATTTTTTTCTGCTTTATTAAATGCTTGTGCATTAGCAAAAGGCGATGGGTATCTTAAAGTGGCGGTGACACAGATTCAAAAGGCGACATAATATTCGTAATATACGGGCACACGGCGAGGGATACCGTTCATAGTTTCCTCTCGTATTCCGAGAAGCATAACGGTGCACACGACTCGAACACAAAACGATCCAGTTTCATAATAAAGTTTAGTGTCTGGTGTTGCTTTATGACCCTGGCGAACTTAGATTTTGTCGAAATTCGAGAGTTAGAATTTTTAACTGCACATTTTATACTTTGTGAGACATTTTCATATTTATGTATAGCACGCGATATAACGACGCTTTATCTATATACAAGCTCGTAAATTAGCTGTAAGCGAGAGTTTTTATCGTCTGATTTTAGTATCAGTTTATAGCGATTTTTCATTTTATCAGATTTGATCACATTAAAAGATAGCTTGATAAGATATTAATAATTTATTGCGTCGTAAACGTTAACAAATAATATTCAACTTATCTGATCTAGTTTAACGGTTATCATTTTGGAAACAAAAAAATATGACGGATTCTCTAGATCTTTAACCTATATTTAGCACTATTCATTTGGAAGTTTTTATGGTAATAATCGTGACTCTAAAAACGTCCAAAATATCACGTTGTATTAAATCTGTCTTCACTCTACTCTTGAATAGACTAGGCAAAAGTTATAGCCTACAATAATGAGCTACAATTTAAAGATTTGAGGGAAAGAAAGTTTGCGCTTAATCAATTTGAAAGTAGGTAAGTAGCAGCAGTTAATTTCGTTATAATATTTTTTATGATGCTTCGCTCATCAAACTATTATAAGCAACGGTAGCGCTTTGCGTTCGCGGATGTGGATTATTTTCATTACAGCAGTCGAACTATCATTATCTGAATTACGTTTTGAAAAATAATGAATCGGTTGTAGTTAATTTAGTCTATTTTCTAAGATAGCATACAAAGGAAGTAAGGTACGAATCCGATAAATCAAGAAGTGGTCCAGGCGTCGCCTGCGAAATGTCGTAGACTTTGCCCGGGAGACAGTTCAAAGACTATTTTGCACAGTGGACCTATTTACTCCCAGAATAAAACCAGTGCAAACTGTCCACGCTAAGCTATCCAGTCCTATAAATATTTATATAAAAATTACATTGTTCCTAATGCAGCGGCAACTGACAATTAACACTTCCCCTTTCTATAGTGCTAACTTAACAGCAAAGTGTGAATTAAGCACTAAGTACGATACTTTTACTTGTTTAGAATTGGATAGTTCATAAGTTCTATAAAAACAGAAACAGAAAATTGAGGATCTGAAAAAACGCAAGACAATAAATGGGCCAGTGCTGAGAAGAAGCAGCGCAAGAAACTCAGTCACTATTGTCTGCCAATTAATTATACAAATTCTCAATTATGATTTATAATACGTTTGAAAACATAAATCTTAAGTCAATTGGAGTGTTCCTATTCTACAGTGCCGGAACCACAATATCGCTCGAATATTTTATTTAAGTAACTGTTCTTATTTTGTGGTACAGGACACCCGTGACGGCGGTGTCATGGCATCCACAGTCGGGTCTGCTGGCGTCTGTTGACAGGAGCAACCGTGCAGTCATATGGGGGGACTTGTGACAGGCATGGGACTCCCTGCCGCCTCCCGCTGAACCTAAGGTAATATACCATTTTAACTTAATTCTGACAAATGACCCTATAGCCTATTTCCTCGCCAATACAAGAGGTGGTTTGGGAATTTTTTGTAGTAGGAATCGGTGTAAATTTTGTAAGAATATTAACCCCTCGTTGTAAGCTAAATATGCTTGTGTTACGAGGTGGTCCACCACAGTAATTCAGCGGCGTGACGGGAATCGAACCCGCGTTCCTCGGATCTGTCCCGAAACCGACACCATTAGGCTTTTGTGAAAGCTGACTTTAATGCTCTACAATTCTAGAACTAATACAACTAAATATCTAAAATGGCTTTAAACAGACATAAATATTCAGAGTAACAATATAAATTACGGTTCAGCAAGGTCCACCTTTGGCATCCTGGCCCTAAAAGGCAGACTGTCCTCATTTAGGCTACAGTAGAAGTCAACGTTGAAAGAGATTTCAGTTTTATTAAGTTGACACGGTCACCGAATGAGTGACACAAGAATGACCGCCGCCGCGCCTCATTGTCAACGTGCCACCGTGTAGCAAGCACACGACGTGCGGGTCGCAGGTTCAATGCCGTATCAGGATATGCTCCGCTTTGCCACAACCGCCTGCAATTCACACGTTATATAAGGCGAAACTAGTTTTCAAGATGAATATGCTATTTTTACACCGACAGAAAAGGACTTTATTTTACAGTTGTCCGCCTACATTTGGGAATAGAAACGTCAAATAGATTAAAGTGACAGCTTTGATAAGTTCTGAAATATTAGGCGATAAATTAACAGAAAAATATATTTCAATAGCAAAAATTTCGCTACCAAACATTTATAACAAACTAGCTGACCCGGCGAACTTTGTTCCGCCTTAATGGCAATAAATAAGCAGACTTTTTTTTTTATTTCGAACGGGATAAAAAGTATCCTATGTCATTCTCCTGGCTCTAAACTACCTCCCTGACAATTTTCAGCTAAATCGGTTCAGCCGTTCTTGAGTTATAAGTGGAGTAACTAACACGACTTTCTTTTATAATATAGATAAATTGGTTGACATTAGGATTGTAGACAAACAATCGCCAGCAAGATTGAGATAGCAAGATGTAAGCGCTTCTATTGTCGGTGTCAAAGATTATTTTATATGACCTATTGTATTCGGTCAGCGACCTACGGTAGATCTTCAGACATTTCGGTAGCTTATGTCATTCAATTCGATATCAGAATCCCAGATTTATGAATTCATCGTACGCAAATAAATTACATTTCACGATTTTTATCCGCGACTTCGCCCGCGTTGATGTTATTAATAATAGCTTTCTACTGGAGAAAGAATTTTCAAAATCGTGTTCGTTTAATTCAAAAGATTACTTCCTATAAAAATACTCACATACTCACAACTTTACCTCGTTAAGATATTTTAAGTGTAGATTTTCAGAAGTGCGTGAATCTCTGAACTCAGATGTACTATTTCCGTGACCCTAATGGAGATAATAGTCTATTATATTAACAGTTAGAAGCGCAATTTAGTTTTAGGCCCTACGGCTATTATAATTGCATGTAAAGACGATGGGTCAATGGCGATGGGCCGTGCATCTGATGATTTGTGTGCGATTGCCATCACGGCCCAGCGCCGTTATCTGCCCGCACTATAAATCACTTATTACGAAAATTTTAAACATGCCACCATCATACCGAGTATGACTGACGAACACATACGCACACACCTCTCCGTGATGCTAAACTACTATAATCGTCAGTAATTTGAAGACGCCGCTTTCATAAATCATATTAGATTAAAAACATTCACAAACTTGTAATTTAGATAATAATAGAGTTTGCAAGCAAACAGATTTAAAGGAATGGAAAAAAACGCTGTTACACTGATGATATTAATTGGTTTACATTATTGCCACGGAATTGTAAAATTGCGAATGTTCTTGTACTACGAGATTAACCTGTGATCTCTGGTCTATAATTAAAGGATATTACAGAAATAATATTCCAAAAGAATAACAATTTATCTTTTTTTCTGATTGAATAAACTATAACTTTATGAGAATACGAGTATTCATCATAAATATTACCTTACATAAACCATGTTAATGTATAGTGAATCTGATTGATGACTATAGATTTTTCATTACGCTTACATACTTCACATTCGGTATCAACCAACCACGAACTCTGATTTATAAGGGACCTTTATTAGCTCTACATTTTAAAAACTGAAATACCCTCGATTATGTAAATGCTCTTCCTTAACCATTGAAACGGGTGGTCTACCACAACCTGAAGTGTTAGAAACTGGTAAACTTTGTGTGGTCTATACATAGAAATCAAACATACTTCCTGTCCGACTCTACAAAAGTCCTCGTAAACTTACATCTTCAACCTGCGGAGGCAGTCAGGTACTGACAGCCATTTAAATTCCCAGGTGCTGTAAATAAATGCCCTCACGCCTGTCAACCATACATCAAACTTTAATCGGTTGAAATACTTGTAATCATCACGGCTTCATGTCAATGAATAATAATTACGTCATTAGACACCGACAAAATTTATGAAAGTTTAATCGAGAATGTGTGAACAATATAGTAGTTAGTGTCCTTGATTAATGTTTTATATCGGACATCAGCGCTATTAAACTTTATTCATAACTTCTATGATTGACACGAAAGCTAAATTACCTGCAGGGCTTTTACTTGGCCGATGAACAAGAACTTGATTTAAATTTACTATAGTTAATGCGATGTCAATATAGAGTTCAATGTGAGTAAAATAGTAATGAATTCCTGAGTTAAAATGTTTATGAAAATCAAGGTGTGCCATTTTAAGGCTGTATTTTCATTTAACAATGAGCAGTAAGATAACATAATTAATAGAATGTAAACGTCTGAAAACAAGTGTTATTTGATTTGTCGTATAAAAATGAGGGTCGTTGACTCGTGAATGGGCTGTCACTTGAGATGTAATGCGGTAATGCTGGCCACTTACCATCAAATGGAGCGTCTACGCATTTGCCACCCCTATTGTTAAAAAAACAAAACTTAAATGTAGAAATGTAGGTATTGTACATGAGATAGTGCACAATGCCGGCGACGAGTGAAAGCGAGGCTTTCGACTTTCATTGAGTTTTTGTAAGTGTATGTATGGCCCCGCGGCGGCCGGTCCATATTGTCTCGCGACATGATTCTGCTCAACTTTTCTAGTAAAAGGTGTCCGCGCATCATTGCTTTTTTTATAATTTTGTTACCTTATTTGTCTATTTGACTACTAACCAGTTTTAATCATCTGGCTCTAGGCCAAACTTGGACCTCATAAAATTAAATTATAAGTGTATTTTTTTGGTTAACCATGTTAATCATGAACGAAAGCCGTTCTAATTTGCTTTATAAAGTGTTCGCGCCGCACTACAATACCTTTTATGTTGAACATCTTTACATTCATCATTTCACGCATGAGGATTTTTTCCACTTTATTGCTTCAATTATCACAATTTAAAATCATGGTTAAGCCTTTTGATCTTGATTTACCGAATACATTGGATCCAGTATTAAATACCTCGAATCGAAGTCGGAAAGCTCTTTTCGTGACAGTTTATTCATTAGCTCCGCTGAAACTACGAAATTAATTCTAAATTCCTTTGCTTCCAGTTACGTTATTTCCTTAAATAGGGATGCTTGGGATCAATTAATGATCATTAGTTGATGACAGAACAAGCATTCGTTCGTCGGCGTCTTAGACTTGACGGACTATTAGTCTCCCCGGTAAATTAATACCTTTCGCAATCTTATTTAAAATCACTTAAGGCCCTTCTCTAATTGATTAACTGTCTTGGCTTTTTATACGAAAGCAATACTCTTTACGAATCTAATTGGTATTGTAACTACTATGTTCTTTTATGCTTATGCCGACTTTTTCGTTTATTGGAGTAGTTAAACTCTACCATAATGGGTGAGCACCTTTAGCCATTTGAGTGATAAAGACGTCATCACATCATGGTAATCTTGTGGTCGTGGTATTTCTAAGTTCTTTTTTCACACTGAATAAAATACAATGCGAAATATCAACTGACTGAATGAATGAATCTAATAATTTATGAGTTTTCTAACCTTTCTTTGTCAATCGCATAGTCGGATATACATACAATTTGAAAAAAAAAAACAGCATAAGGTGGTATCTAATTCTTATTACTTTACTAGACGTTTTATAAACTTTAGTCACGTAATCAAAAATAAAAAGAATGGCTGAAATTTCATTTGTTTCCTGCATTATTCGTTAGGTTTTCCCCTGAAGCATATTTTTTCCTCAATGTTACATGTCTTGTTTTCCCAAATCTCAACAGTTTTCTATGAGACATTTCTCTACAAAAATATTTTACCTTAGTAAATCAGTCATAAATGACAGCTTAAAACTAGTTTACCTAAAACTCGGTTATGATGGCGACATGAGGGAAGTTTCACATGCCTACTTGCAAAAAGGACACATAAATTGCTTTGTAAGCCTCGACATTTTTATGTGGTGTGCATATTTTAAAAGTTTTTCGCACATGCGTCGCGTGTCGCCGAGTGCGCCGCGTCAGTGACGAAAGCGTGCGCGCCGGCGCGGCTAGGGTTACCACATGTTTGGCTTTTTACGGACTTGTCCGGCCCAATATTCTCTTGTCCGGCCTGTCCGGCTTTTGTTAGGCTTTTTATGTGGCTGCCGCGCAAGCCAAAAGTCGAGCCTCAGAATAATATCGAACACACATGCGCGTATCAGGATGATGTTGGGCTACCGATTGGAATATGATAGTTGATAGTACTCACTCATGACCTATGATACTAATTGCACTTTGGGGTAAAATTTTAGGGTAAAATGTCCGGCCATATTAAGCACCGAGTACGGATTTTGTGTTTTTAGACCTGGCAACCCTAGGCGCGGGCGCTCAACCGTTCACAAACCGTTTGTCGCCAAAATCAAGCGGAAAATTTAATAGTACAGCAGTCGCTCGCTACGTGATCAGTATCTTGCTCTTTTAACAAACCGATGGCCCACTTTCGTTTCGCATCAGGACAGAACCAAAAAACCATCGATAGTCTTTTTTATAAATTTTAATTAAATGCCCACATTGCTGCATTATGTACCTATCACTCCACTTGACATCGATATCCCAACTAATATTATAAATGCGAAAGTAACTCTGTCTGTCTGTCTGTCTGTCTGTCTGTCTGTCTGTTACGCTTTCCCGCTTAAACCTCGCAACCGATTTTGATGAAATTTGGCATAGAGATAGTTTGAGTCCCGGGAAAGAACATAGGATAGTTTTTATCCCGGTTTTTGAAACAGGTACGCGCGCGATAAAGTTTTTCTGTGACAGACAAAATTCCACGCGGGCGAAGCCGCGGGCGGAAAGCTAGTAGTTTATAAAAAGTAACCAACGCACAGTTCGACAAACCTCGCTCCACACGCCAGATATGTATTCCGTTGTAACTTTTATAGACCGCCAAATCAAATTAAAATAATGTAGCTGTCATTCTCGCCAGCGAATCACAAAGCCGCTGAAATATGCTGGCAGATATGCCTCGCGCTCGGCGACCGTTGACGCTATCTACATCGATATTTTTTTGTTATCACTGTTTGTTGTTGGCTAATAGTGTTTTAAGTTATTCGAATCGTGAAATTGTTGTCTTAAGTCGTAGATGCGGTTAACCGTATCCTAATGTTCTGATGCCGGCAACGGTATCGGCGGCTCTGCGGCCGCGTCCGAATTGCGAAGTTTCGGCGTAATGACCTGCGCGGACGCCCGCGGCCCGCGCCCGCCGATCCCCATCGGGCACGCTCGTCTATGCCGGCCACATTCCTTCCTCGCTTATCGTAAACCATCGTGATTTAATCCTCAAATCCTGCAAATAAACCACACTTAACTTGATACTTCTTAATATACAAATACATGTAGAGTCAGTCGCCAAAACTCGTAAATGTTTACCTTAACTATTACGACGTTCGCGAAAACGATAATAACGTTAGCAAATTACTAATTAGTGTGTGTCTCGCTATCTCAATTGCTAATTACGAGTTTATTAGCATATGCAAACGATTGGTAACATTGACAGTTGGACTAATGGGCGACGGCCGCCGAGGTCACGCCGGCTGACACCCTCACTTGACACACAGAAAAACGTGACATCAATTTTACCGTAAGACCGTCTTCACATCGAGGATCAATTTGATGTTACCGTTTTAGGAATATAATTATGTTTTTTGTGTGATCCAAGCCAGTAGTCGGCACGCAACATCATGATATCTTACGGGGGCGGGCTAATAGCCGCTATTAGCAAATCGCTCTGAGAAATCGCCAACAATGAACACGAAATATGCTCATTGCCAATGTCTCATTCATTAAACTTTTTGCGATACTAACTTTGTCTTAAATGTATGTCAGAACTCCTCGACTTTTTTTTCATATCAAAATAAACGAAGCAATTTGCCCTCAGGCGGGACTAATATTGTGATTAAATTATTATCTTCGCGCGTCTGTGATTTGCTTTCCAGTTATTTGTGACTGTTGTGTTCATTTTGCCATACACTAAAAACTGGGTTGAAATTACAGATATAATTACCTCGCGTTTTCGTTTTGTAAGCTTTTACAGCGGTATGTTTAGGACGTCTAAAATCAACTTGTCTTACAGTTTTAAATCCTAACCAACGTGCATAAATGTCCGATTGTATTTATGTGAATCCGTTTCAATTAACCTAAATTATATTTAATTGCCAGAGCACGCACTTTTACTATCTAAGCTAACTGCTGCGCTCTCGGCAGGTAATCTGAGAACGTTTCGCCAGCTTTTAACATTTTAACTACTTTAACGCCGGTATACCCTGGCAGCTATCTGTAATGCAATAACGACATGTACAAACAAGAATCTGTTTACCCATTTCAATTTGAATTACATCTGTGATGCGCATATAACGAGTTACTACCGAGTAACGGTCGGGCACACTTAACCCATTAATCTCAGTGAGTTTTACTGTAACTAACTTCTTAATTGATGTTATCAGATACTCCCAGATATTAAAGTGTACGGCTGCCTTCAACGGATATTGATTCCAAATGTATATTATAACTATTGCACTAGTTACGCGCACTGGAAGGGTTTAATGACGTGAAATAGAATGTGCACAGACAGAAACATTGCAGCCGGTGAATGCTTTAATTCGTTTACTGCCTTTAAAATGCTCGCTATCAGTGGCTTGCGGCTTCTTCCTGTGTAATTCGGTCAAATTATTTTATTACCACTATGCTGACCTTATGTTCACCGGCCACATTTCGATGTTACTTTATTGCCTTCAAATTATAGCTGATAGAGCGAGATGCAGCTGAATAAAATAAAAATACTGTTATAATACTCGAGTTCCGAAAATCTTCTGTAGCACAAATGATAAAACGTGAGCAATTTTCCTTTTCCGGTGTGGAAATATTTCGAATAATGTATAATATTTGTTACAAAACTTCGAACAAATGAATAGTAATTTTAACACATTGTGTGCTCTACCTGGGAATCGAACCAAGAAACCCTGAGGTGACTGCAAGCTTGCAATCCTATAATCAAATGATATCACCTCAACGTTATTTGTTTGCTACTTTGTATCCCATGGAATCGACCGACTTTCTAACCACGGAGAATTTATTAGCCTAGACTGTTTCTAAGCATGACCTAGACCTACTAGAAGTAAAGTTTTTTAAGTACATTTTATGGAAAAATTAAAAACCTATAATATTACAAGAATTTGATGAAGATACTGAAAAACGTTAGCTACGCTATTTTATTATTTATTTAACATCTTTATTGCACACAAAAACATGCGGTACAAAAGGCCAACTTAATGCCGTGTGGCGTTCTCTACCCAGTAGACCTAGTCTCTACCAAAGATATTTATAACCTTTGGGCCATACAGAGAATTTGAGTAGGCGGTGCAAAATTTTCGTAGTCATACTTTCCTAATATGCGTTCTTTTTCTTTTCAGGTTTCAAGATGCGAGGAGGCGCTCGAAGACGGGGACTCCGGGGAGGTGATTCACTTCCTCAGAGGCATCACCACCGATATATTCCATCGGTTCACTGACTAACCTCAAGTCTCTAAAGTCTTCTCTTTATTCCCTAATAACTTTAGCTAGTTTTATTTCAATTGAGTAAAAGTCATCACAATGTCCTTTACTTTTTCACAACTATTTGTAAGACTTCTTTGAACATTTTTTACGTCTTGTTGACATACATATAAATACTGTGCTACTCGTACCGTGTAGAGTGTCAAACATTTTAAATAATAGTCATTAAAAGACGCCTTGGGTTCCGTTACGCAAAATAACTTTTTGTAAATGTATTCTTAGCTAAAGTACCTGCCCATCCTTGTTAAATCGCCGCGGATTTATTGTTTGATGTTGAGTAGTTTGTTACAAAGAAAATAAATGTGAAGTGCTAAATTATTTACTTTTAACGTCAAATTGACGTGCTCAAATATTTTAGAGTGGGTGGGCAATGAAAAGTTATTTTGCGCCTACATCTTCGGTTTAGATGTGACACTTCATAACTAAAAAAATAGGTAAAACGAGATTTCGATGCAGAAAGTTTCAAATCATATTTTCGGTGTTTACTTACTCGTCCTTATCTGCATTATAATTTTATTTTGATTGAAAAAAATCAGAGTACTTCTTAAGCTACAATTCTCTTACCTTTTAAACTGTGTCAAAGTTTCTGTCTTTCCTGAAAAATATAGTTTGCAAGGTGTCACATAAAGACCGAAGATATATTTGAATAAATCTTTTATTGATTGTAGTTAGGAATTTTGTATTTTTGCAAGGGTGCTTTTACGTCACAAAGTGTATTTAATTTTATAATGGCGCTCTATCACACAGCGTTTCGACACTCAATTAATCATTTTGGCATTAATATGTATTGGAAACTTAATACTGACACTACGCTGGTTTAGGCGAGTGTTGAACTGTTGATGTATAAGCCAAACGGGACGGCCTTTTGTCTTCTGACTTATGTACATATTATTATAGTTTGATTTCATTCCTGATCTTAGCTTCGGATGTATCTGCGGTCATTGTTCTGAGCATTGTGAGTTATTAGTTACTAGTATTGTATACAGTATGGTCATTTGTATAGTCGGAAATGTTATAGGCAGCTATAATGTCTTCAATAAGATTTCTCATGAGATGGGACTGCGTGTTGACTCTATCTGTAATGAGTTTTCTTTTATAAGTTGTACCTACGTCATAGAATAGTTGTCAATGGTTACGTGCTAATGCACGAGCTTTACATTATTTTTAGATGATATAGCAATACCACCACGAACCTTATTTTTTCAATGTTAATGTGAAAGTTAACATTTGACATAAAGAATTTTACATAGTAAGAATAAAACTTAGATATCTAAAATACAATTTACAAGCGAAATACCGCCCCAATGTGAAATGCTTGCGCACAATCGTTGCTACTCGTATCGTATATTGAAGTCATAGTTTAACAGTTCTATTTTTGTAAAGAATGTCATTTGCTTGTCGCTCTACGTTACAAATAAATACGGAAATGAGAATTTGCGAGTGATTTACTGCTGGGCATGTTTGTATTATCGAGTTGACATCATATTTGTTTTACTTAACAGATCTCGGGCCACCTGCGCTTCCCGAAGTCTCTCATTAGCAAACAATGATCGGGCGTCGCCGGCGCAGCGATAGTTGTAGGGCCAGGCTGCGCCGCTCGATGCGCGTAAATATGGCGGATTCGAACCAAAAAGGAAACTGGGTCCGAAACTAAAATAGCCGCTGCCGTATCAGGCGAGTTCACTCTTAATATTCGGCGATAATGTATTCTGAATACTTGCGAGTATGATGACATAATTTTTCGAGTTTTCCTATCGATCACTATGAATGGTCTTAAAGAAATGAATTGAAAATTCTTGGACTTTTAAAATACGAAACTAAGTTGCCAAAAGACATGTTTTTGAACTATTTTTGGTGCTAAGAAGAATGTATCGTTTAGGGATTAGGTACGTAGTGTAGTTCGGACAGAGCTGGCTCCGGAGCTATATCGCGATCAATAAACTGCTGGGACCGATAAGAGCGGGTGGCGCGCGCCGCGGGCGACACATCTATAATCTGTGACGTGTGTTTTGACAGCAGCGCTGCGCCACTTTTTCAACGTCATTTTTTACCAAGCCCCGCACCCGACAGTTCGACGACCCCGCACTAAAGTTTTATTTTCACATGTAATTACGCGTATAGCCGACCGCTTAATTACCGAAAACGGCCGCGACGCCGGCACCTGGAATTCGATTGAAAAAACGTCAAATCTGGCGCCGCTCTTAAATTATGCTTCGTTAGCCTTCACCTTCCTTATACGGCTGCGTTTAAGACTAGTTTAAGACCGTGAACCGGCGTTGCTTGGGCGCCTCGTCTCTCTACATATTTTTGCTTCTTGCCAAAAAAACTTGTCATACTCTTCGAGGATATTATTAAGTACTTGTGATTACCAATGTCTCTACGTTAAATTGATTGATATCTTCGTAACGGTGGCGCAAATGTATCGATAGCCATTAAAACTAGTCACTTTTAATTCTGTTAGTGTTACATTCGCCTTATTTTTCACACTTTTCGCTTGGATTGAATATTTTATTCGCATTTAGCGGTGTTGGGTGCTATGTGCTAATGCTTGTTGGGGAATTAAAAATGTAAATGAAGTTTAACTGTGAAGAAAGAATATTGCTTTTAAAGCCATGGAATTGGAGCCGTTTATGTTTAGCACCGTTGCTTGGATGTTGTTTGGGATTTACGATTGGACGTCCTTGTTAAAGGTGGTTCAGTTAGTGTTAAATTTATAGGTTTTAGAATACAATTTGTCCGTTTATGGTAATTAGTTGGCGCTTTGTAGTTCAAACGCACCCAATATTGTTATAATTTATGTTGTGCGAGACCGCAGTCCAGACTATGATTGCCGTTTGTGTGGGGCACTCTGGTAGTTTTTCGCGGCTCGTAAATAAATCACTTTCATTTAGAGTGATTTATTAAACTCGTTCATTAACTATTAATGCTAGTTATTGTTTTCAAACTTTTCACACGTTTATAAGAATTGTGCCAATTATCTTATTAGGTAAGTTTTTGATTTTTGAACAAAATAAAAATTCAAAAGTGTGTAAGGTTTGGACTATACCGCATTAGTAACGAACAAAGTTAATAAAATTGCAAAAGCTCTCAGTGGAGTGTTTCCCGAAATTTTCCGAATCAACTCCTTTAACTGCTTTCTAATATACTATCTATCTACACCTACATCACAAACTTATATCTGTTATACTAAAAAGCTAAAACTTTCAGTGTGCCCTATGCGTTATACGTAGAGTCGTATTATTTATAGAACTATGTATAATACCAACCGATATGTTTTTTAAAATTCTATACCTACTTATATTAATTTTGGTAAAATGTTGACAAATTAGACAGACAACAAAGCTTATTGTATAAAAACATGTGCCTTTAGTTAGTTATAAGAGTGTAAAAGTACTTATGCATAATTGTCCTAATTATGAAGGAACATAATAAACACGTTCCGTGTTTTTTGATTCCAACATTCGTAGGTGTCGATTGTTTTATACTCTTACTATTTGTTCTCGAAAGTCATTTTTGATGAATAATTTTAAGTAATAGTTAATGTTGTAAGTACATAGCTTTACAAAGACTGTTGTCGTTATATTTTTAACAACCTTACACGTCGAAGCGGACCGCTAGGTTCATGTTTAATAATGAGTTTTTTCTCAGTTAAATGCGAAAATTCCAACTCATAAAGTTTATGACGAATTATCGTATGTAAATATATGTGGAAGCATAATATTTGTGAACGCTTCGTCTAGACATTCGGCTAGAAAATTGCTATGTTGTACTGACTTTCAGATGCCTATACTTTAAATATTTTTATATGAAATGTATTATATTGTATAGAGCACGTTCGCGTACGGTGAACCAATCGGTCAGCATTGCGTAAATTAAGATTGTAACTATGTTCATCACTTTTATTCTACGACTGTATATTCAATATGGAAATAAAATATGTGTTATTATTGCTAATTGTCTAATTTTATTTTGCGATAGAATACAATTATGTTTTTTTGATTGCGCTCGGTTCATTGTTCGGCGAGTGTATGATTAAGTTCGCACGTTCATTCAAAGCTTGTCAAATTAAGTTTCATTTGGCAGAGCGCCGTTATGCGGGTGATTTATTCAGGTGGGCTATTAACCGAGGCGGTCCGAGCTGGCCATCTGCCCTGACCCAACGTTTCTCCAATTAAACTGCCACCCGAGGGCACTCGCGACAGTAATTACATACGACCGACCCCGGGACGCTAATTAAAATAATCAACTAGAGACAAATCGCTCAGCAATCGACAGGTCAACAATGAATCTGTAATAGAAGAATAACAGATATTTGCGCTTTAGAGTTTTTTGTTGAGTCACTCCTTTTCATTCTTAGTCACAATGAATTAAGTGCGTATATTGTGGTTTAGTGTTGAATGCGATGAATGAAGAGTGAGAGTTGGGATGTGATTATTTTATTATATTATAATGAGTTAGCAAATCAGCTCTCACTTTTGAAGCCCTTTGGAGAACCCTTTCTACCAATTTTGTTCTCATTAGGTAAGTAGTTTTTTTTCTCAGTCCATATTGATGTCAGTTCCATATTGATGATCGCATTTTGGATCTAAACCACATTATTGTTATTAAATGTACCTACTCCTCTACCAAGTTTCAATATTTCCGGAAATAAAGTATTTCTATATTGGAAAGCTAAAATGGTGCAGGAGAAAAACAAAAGGACTTTACTATGGGAACAGTTATAATGTGAGCATTGGATTGGTGAAACTGAAGTCGGATCATAAGGTAACGTAACGATCTTACAATTGGCTCTGGCTCCTAACTCCATTCGATATCAAGTACCGAACAATCGGGAGGTATAAACAAGCGAATTTATTGATTCGTGGTCGCATGCATGCCGCTGAGATGTGGAAACGTGACTTCTCGGTACGAAAACGGTTTACTCTGCACCATGATGTGAAATACGATGTTTGCGCCTTGGAATAATACGCCTAACGTTTGTTCTAAAATTGTCCGTGTTTTGTGTGACAACAGGTTCAACCACGCAAAATTATTTCAAGATACACATTCGGCTCCGTCTCCCTCGCACGTGCGAAGATGCTGGCATGGATGAGAGAGATGACACATCGAAATCATTCTGCTTGGATATCCACCGTTCGGGCCTCCGCTACAGCCCGTGCCTCCCTAATGACCTTCCCTCTTATTACGCGGCACAATACAGCCAATTAGGCCAACCAGTCGAGATTTACCACCGCATCGGTCGCGCTAACCGCACCGCGTACATTACCCCTGCCCTCGACAACTTCATTACGAACAACGCTAGCGATTGCCATTTCAGTAGGTAATTACTCAGTTCCAGCTAAACTCTTCGCCGTGGTCTCGCGACATATCACACGGTCGCTCCGTCAATGTAACGCAAACATTAAATCGCTAGAAGCTATCTAGATGCCATTATAGAATCCTCGTCGGCAAACCATTACACACCTCTACAGGTGTGTTTTAGTCATTAGTTTATTTTATCGTGATAGCATCTTGACGGATGTAGACACCGAACATCATTACAATAGACGGGATGTTTTCCTCTAATGGACGCCAACGTATACCATCGCCGCAGCGCAACCCACCCGTCGCCTATTGATGGTCAGACGAAACCGATATGCAAAACAAAAATAACAGTATTCGCACGTAGTTTTTTACTTTTTTTCCTGTGGCATCGATAAAAACCACGTAGCGCGAACTTATTACGGTGAGCAAATTGGACATGGCGTCGTAATTGCGATGCGAAATATTTAGGTAGTAATTACAGAACAGAGCTTGAGGTGTGGATAATTGACAGGCAGTGTTTGGTGTGGTCAGCTTGACCCACTGCGACTCAGAAGTGGCGCTTTCAACTACCACAGATGGCTGCTAGGACCCGACCACGGCACGGTCAACACAGATATTGGGTAGGCACACAATCGACCACAACCTACATCAATCGCCATACAGCTCGCCTAATGGAAAAATACCTTTGTACCATAACAACGTGCGCAATCTGTTACCTACTTAGATGAACTAGTAAACCAAATAAGTTTAAGTAGAAAGGCATGTACAACAATCATCAATCAATCAAGGATCGTACACATTTTTGAGGCTGGTCCAGCTATGAGTAACACCTAATTTTAGCTGGCACCGCCAGGTCATACGCCCACACGCCGTTGATCCGTTGTTATTTACCACATTCTTAAACCATGAGTAATTTTTAGACATTTCCTTTTCAGGACTTGTTGCTAAAGATTTCCAGGTAATGCAAATTAGGCGTCCTTGGGGAAAGTCCTAATGAAAAAAACTACAGATATTATATAGGTATGTACTTAGTTTAAGTGAAAAAAATACCAGAAGCAGCTTCTCTAATTGTATTTGATTTATTGCACGCGCGCGTGGGCCCCCAGATAACGGTCTACTTATTAAACACACTTGGCTCCCAATCGAAAGACTAATTTATTGTGTATGAGTAAAAAACTGCTACATCCGGATCGGAGAAAACTGTCAAGTGTTTTTTACTCTCATCATGTGCCAAGAACACCTATGTACAGTCAGGAACAAAACTCGCCCAATAATATTTATGTAACAAACATAGACCTGGATCGTATGAAGCGGAAAAATACATGTGAAAAATGGGTTGATGAAGCTTTAGGCTCCCTTTAATCTGTGGCCCGAGCCTTTTACAATGATCTGATTAATATGATACCTACTGATAAAATAGATCGTATACCATCATTTTTCCTATGCTTCACAGATATTTTGTATTTGTAATTAAACATGATTGCTGACTGTACTGAGTATACGTCACGTGAGTGTTTATTAAAAAAATGTAAACACATTTTCTCTTTCTCACTTTGTTTGATCACGTGTGTCAATCAACAAAATTAAGTAAATGTGCAGGTAAGTAAATTTTATAATACGTTCATCAATGTAGGCGCCACCAAGAAATAACTGCACGACTTCATAAAAACGTTTTTATATGATCATCCTGCGTCAAATTGACGCATTAAACACACTTGCCATCCAATCGAAAGACTAATTTATTGTGCTTAAGTAAAAAATATCTAGGTTCAGAGAAAACTGTCAAGTTTTTTTACACTCATCATGTGCCAAGAACACCTATGTACAGTCGGCCACAAATGTCGCTTGACGTTTAGGCACGGATCATTGACACAATAGGAAATCATCCGGAATTAATAATGTATGAGAGACGGATTAAATATAACATATGAGCGAAGGCAAGCTGTTTTTCTAATATGGCTCATATCATATACAGTGTGTCCGGGCTTGTAGTGATCAAACTTTAAGGGCGTATTCTATGGACAATTTTATCGATGAAAATATTTCAAATTTGGGGCTTGACCCATTTCTCGCAAAATTACGAGGATTTAAGTTTTTAATTTTTAGTTTTCACCTCTTCCTTCAAAAACAAGTGAAAGCGTGGGTAGCTTAACACTAATAAGCAAAAATTTTATATCATGCGATAGCCAATAAAATTATCTATTAGCAGAAGTAGAAAACAGATACAAGTTTCATACATTTTAAGGGAGTAAGAATGGATTTAATTAGAAAAAAACATGACTTTTTTCACTTCTTTTTCAGTTATTTTCCAACACAAGAAAAACCAGGTCGTTAAGGTATGTTTTATTTGCATTGTATTATTAGTATTTGAGCTATTCTACAAAACGAATGTAAATTTATTAGTCTACGTCTATTAGTTTCGACGTAATTGTTGAACAAAGATACCCCTTCTCAGCGGTTTCCATAGCGCACGCGACATGCGAAAATGCACTGCCTGAAAGAATCACACAACCTATTCCGATTACTATGGAAACCGCTGGGAAGGGGTATCTTTGTTCAACAATTACGTCGAAACTAATAGACGTAGACTAATAAATTTACATTCGTTTTGTAGAATAGCTCAAATACTAATAATACAATGCAAATAAAACATACCTTAACGACCTGGTTTTTCTTGTGTTGGAAAATAACTGAAAAAGAAGTGAAAAAAGTCATGTTTTTTTCTAATTAAATCCATTCTTACTCCCTTAAAATGTATGAAACTTGTATCTGTTTTCTACTTCTGCTAATAGATAATTTTATTGGCTATCGCGTGATATAAAATATTTGCTTATTAATGTTAAGCTACCCACGCTTTCACTTGTTTTTGAAGGAAAAGGTGAAAACTAAAAATTAAAAACTTAAATCCTTGTAATTTTGCGATAAATGGGTCAAGCCCCAAATTTGAAGTATTTTTATCGATAAAATTGTCCCTAGATTTGGCCCATAAAGTTTGATCACTACATGCCCGGACACACTGTATAGAGGTAGAGCTAAGCTCAATATTATTCTATTGTTAGGATTGGGTTTACTATGGTAATAGCGGGAGACGGGAATCGAAGTAGCGACCGAATTCTGTTACCGTTGACTTATGATAAAAAAAATTCCATGATAAATAAGTCGAATTACTTGGTTACTTAGAAAATACTTAACCGACTGTACGTCAGTCACGCATTTTATGAAAAGTATGTAAGTTTTACGTTCATCAACGAAAGCACGTGTCTCCAAGAAATAAAGGAGCAACTAATAGAGACGTTAAGAAAATTGTCCTGTACCAAAATTGATCAAATTGATGCAATAAACACTTGCGTCCCATTTGAAAGACTTTATTTATTGTGTATGATAAGTAAAAAACTTCTGCATCCGTATTAGGAAAAAATGCAATGTCATTTAAGTCCGTAAATGAACACCACCTAATATAGAGTCAGCAAATAAATTCCTGTAACTTTGTTTTAGGACATTGAAAGAATTGAAAGAGAAAATTAAAGTTCTGACCATAATATTAAGGAATCGAAACACATCCGGAAACTAATAAATTGTATGAGTGGGGAATTGAAACTGGTCTCGAAATCTCTCGTGTCTCTTCTCTATCCGAATTCAGATGAAACCAT